TTTTTTTTTTTAAGTATGAGCTTCTGATTTTAGCCAGTAGGTTTGTTGTGATGGCTGCGTACCACCCCACCTTCTGGTCATGGTTTTGAATCGTAGTCTGCCCCATGTGGGTTTTTTGTTGTTGTTAGCCTTTTGTTGTGAGGGGTTTTTTGGTTGTTGTCCTTATTACAGTAAATGTTCCTAAACTGCATGTTTTATTAGAAATAAGTATTATTTCTCTCCACCACCTATTTAGTTTGGTTTCTTACTTCTCAAAGGAAGAAGGCCTGTTGGAACATGCATTTGTTTGTCCAGTGACCTAGCTCCCTGTCATTTGTGGTAACTTGTGTGACGTCATGATGAGGCCTCTCTTTGTAATGGAGTGGAATGAGAGATTTATGTATGTTTGAGCCATTTTGAAATTCATTCAGCTATTCAGGGTGGAGAGAATTAAGTCTGAATCAGATGTGGATATAATTCACTACGCTTTAGTTCATTCACAGGTGTGAACAGAACAGGGCCCAGTTTCCCAGTGTAACTGACTGAATTCCCGTCACGTTCTCCTCCCTCCCTCTGCAGGTAAGCAGCTGCTGCCTCTGTCCAGCAGTCTGCACGCAGGAGTGAGTCAACTGGCCTGCCAGGGGCCTCCTGGAGGTTTTGGAGGGCCCGGGGCTGTCGGTGGAGCAGCTAGAGGAGGAGAGGTGAACAACCTGGTGCGCATGAGGAGCCAGGCCCTGGGACAGTCTGCTCCATCCCTCTCTGGGCTGGTCAGTACACACACCCCACAAACACACACATATAGTGAAGCATCTCATGACTTAAATGACTTAAGTAATTTACTGTCAGGCTCAGATTTGAAAACATATTTTCCTTAAATTTTGAGAATAATAGGGTGAGGTCATTGTATTTATGTGCCATATCTGTGTTTAGGCCAAACCTGAGGTAGTGTTTTCATACATCTGTAGATTAGCTTTCAATACTGTAGGTGGTTGTAGTTCTCACTGTGCCGGTTCATCACCAGGAAAATGGCTCATTTCAAAAGGTCCGAGTCATGTGTGAAAAACTCCTAGCATGAGCCCTACAGTACATGTGCTGCCTTAGGAGTAACATGTTCTGCATGCTGTGACTGAAATCTGTCTTAAATTGGCTTGTGGTCTGTAGACTGATAGGCTGGTGTCTGCACACTCGGTGAGTCAGTCTAGCTCCACATGCATCCTGTCTGTTAGTGAGAGTCTGCCAAGTGAATGCAGGGAGGCAGGCTGAGGATAACTCAGGTCTCCACAGCCACCAGCAGCACACTTAACATACACAGAAGCACTTGTTTACTCACTGCTGACATTTTGTGTGGTGTGTTCTTCTATTTGAGTGTTTTGAGGTGCAGTGCAGCACTGCACTGAGCCCCTATGACTGTACCTAGATGAATTCTGCTCAACTCTGACTCCTGCTGGTTGTACAGGGTATTACATAACAAATCTCCTCTGCACCGCCCTTTCAGTGCTCACTCTGTCTCACATAAGTCTAAACATATGATTTCTAAAAGTTTGGAAAGTTCCCTTTAGAGTTTGAAGGTTCTTTCTTTCCTTACTCTGTGAAACAGGTTTTTTAAACGGCTGGGTGATAAGTCAAAGGACAAATTCTGATTCTGATTCTGAAACTATCGTACCATGCCCAGCAGAGCCTTGTTGGTGCTGTGTCTCCAGAGCAGTTTAAGTGCTGAGGAACTGATGCTTTTCTTTGTCAGACATGACAATCACCTGAATCTCTTTGGATTTGTTGTTGGATACAGCAAGACATTTGAAGGCTCCACCTCTGACTTCATCAAATTATGTGTGTGAGCTTTTCAAATGTCTGGCCACAATAAAAAAAAAAAAAATCCAAAAGGTATTGAAACAGGGAAAGATATGAATCATCACACTGAGAAGCAAATTTTTGTGCTTTGTCATAAATGAAGAGTCGAGTTGTAAAATACTGTATGTATGGAGTTACTTTATGCTCATGTGGTTTTATTTCACTGTCAGATTTCTTCAACCACTAGGATGTGGAATCAGGTCAAAGAGACTCGGTGGCTCAGTCAGTTAAATTGTAATGACTTGTCTTTTGTTCAGTAATTCATAATTTTCACTCCTTTACATCATCCAGTCATGATGGAACTCATCCCAAGTGGAACTAAGAAACCTGGTTCTGTTTACCTGGTTTTTCTCAGTTTGTGGTTCTTGGGGAGTGAGAACCAAGTACAGGATGAGGATAAAAAAAAAAACCTGCATTACCTGGTAGAAAACTGAGCCCGGTTAAACACGAGCAGCTGAAAGCTGCCAGCAGATGGCAGCAGTGTCTGCTGAGAGGAATGACCGGCTTTGTCTCGTATCCGCTGTGTGGTTACTCTGGGTGTGTTCGTGCCATTTTCAGTCTGTAAAACTTATCAACTCTATAAAACACATAAAATAAGAAAATCTCAACAGACTCTGCACATAAAGTCCATGAATACTGCATCAGGGATATAAATAGATTGTTTTCAGTGTTTCTGTGCCCTGGCTGTTTTAAGGAGCACCATCTGTGGCAAGTGTGACTTGGACAAAAATCCATTATGCTAAAAGGAATTGTGTCTGAGGTTTATTTTGGCTGCTTTGAATGACTCCATAATCAGCCTTTTCCTCCCCGTCCGTGACTCTCAGAGAGGGACTGGTGTAGCCAGCAGCAGCAGGAAATTGTAGTGTGGATTTAAAACGGAAAATATGATCTGCAGAGTTATTCTAGTTGAGCAAATAATCGCAGGTTATTATATTTCTCAAGGGCAAGTTTATTAATGTTTTCCTTCTTCTTGGCAGACTCCGTCCTTGCTCTTGCACGCTGTTACTCTCCCTCTCTCCGACCCCGTTTCACTCACTCTTTCTTAGACAACAGCAGCTCTTGTGCATCATTCTCAGTCCAGTGTTGCTCTGGCTGTTGGAGTTTTTATATTTCAAAGCTTAAAACTCCATCTCGTGGTTTGATTGACTCACGTTAGGATTTAGGAAGAACACCTGAGCCCCTCGCCAGTCTCTTTTCTTCTCACCTTTTGTGTCACAGTTTATGAGCTACAGGATTAGAGTTTATAGGGAGAGATTTATACAGGGTCTGTTTTTTCAAATTGCCCAGTTTTTCTGTGCTATTTTTTCATTTAAAAACCTTTAAAACTCAGACTCAGTAGTCGAATAGTTAGACCAATTATATCGAATTTCACGGCAACAGTATTAGAGAAGAAGGTGAGTAAACATTGTATCGTGAGTAGGCACTGACTTCTGGCACTGTTGACAGCTCCTAAAAGTAAGGGCACCTTTAAAAATGCACAGGCCGTCTCACTGTGTCAAAGCAGCAGTCTTTGTACCTTATATAGTCTTTATACTTGCTGATTTTCATTCATTAATACTGACAAGCATCATATTTTGACTCTGACTCTCTCCCCACACCTGAATATATGAGGGAAATACAAGCTGAACAAAGCATGAAAAATCCATGCACACGCTCTCACTTAGTGTAATGTTCATTTCCATTGATTGGTTGTGTTCGGCCCTCATCAGCTTTCTGACAAAGGGAAGCCTAATGAAGCAGTTGCTTTATTCCACAGCTAATTTGAGGAAAATCTGACCTAGAAGGTGTTCTCTGTTGTAGGACTAGATGAGAAACATGTTTATTACAGTTCTTGATGATTAACTGAATTTCACAGTGTAATTACACATGTGGGAATCAGGTCCCATTTACATTTACATATACAGCAACCAGCCTCATATAAAATCCCTTCAGTGCTGCTGCAGGAAGGGGATTAGTGTTTAAGAAGCTGTTTGTTCCCTTAGTGTTGGGATGAAACGTGTCCTGGGCCACCCAGGATGTTAATGGACAGAGAGCTTCCTTCCTCGGCGTCTCTCTGTGTACGCTGTTAACACCTGTGTGGTTGATGTGTGTTATTAGGTGAAATGAATGGAGCTCATGGAGTGTGTGTGTGTGTGTGTGCTGGGGGAAACATTTGTGGACGTTCACATGGTGTTTATCTCTCGACTAATGGACGAAGGTCTGCTCTCTCCTGCTTCTCCTCTCTCTGACACACTCATCTTTAAGTGCATGTGTCTGTTTTCCCAGGGTAACAATCAAGTATTGCCTGGTAACCACTGCTAATGCCAGCTGCTGTGTTTTCATCTTTCCAGTAAAATTGCCCAGAGTGCTCAGCACCTGCACAATATATTTACCCATTTAAAAGACAAAGAAGATCCTGTTTTTGTGCAGAGTCTCTTTGTGAGCTCGGCCCTTTCACTGAGCAGCTTCATTCACTGAAGAGGTGAAACTTTGCAATAACACACAATCAGATTAGCATGTTATTAGCATTTGTTTTGGAGAGGAGCAGAAATGAAAGACTGCTGGAAGGGGAATACAGGGCTGAACACGAAGGTGGAGCGGCAGCCTGCGCTCAGGCTTCTGTCT